AGAGTGAACGCAGTCTCCCACTACCACAAATTATGCAGTCAAGTTTCCCACATTTGGGGAAATTACAGGGATCAGCACATCTGGAATGCAGGGGATGAGGCTTGCCCTGCAAAAACAACCTGCCTGATCATGGCATCTCCCCTGCCAGGTAAGGACATACGAGATGGAAATGTCAGAATATTTGCTTTCTCAAAACAGAAATTTTCCTGATTTCGGAGAAAATTGGAGTACCATGTCTCTAAACCAGTCCTCATGCTCCTGTCCCTTAAAGTCTGATAAGCTGCATATTTTGCGGGGGGAGGGGGGGGGAAATGTCCCTACTTAACATTTATCTCCTTCACAAAAAGACATAATAAAAAAAAATTGGAATTATTTTTCACTGAAATACCTGTCTTTCTCCAGGAATTTCTTGAAATCTTTTGTGGGAGGCTTGAGAATTAGACCCATACAGGAGCATAGAGAATCCTCTTCAGAACCAAATCCAGTATAAGGAGGAAATGTTTTTTCTGGTTTTGGAGGTGGTGGAGCCTTATATGGAACTGGGGTGAAATCCTCTACAGCAAAGACAGTAAGGCTTATTAATTACTGTTCTGATGAAGCCATTCTCCTAAGGATTTAAACTTCCAATATGAATACTTATTAGCCTATTTCTGTAACAGAGCACTGATCAAAGTCAAACCAGGATCCCTCCTACTGTTACAGGGTAGAAAAAGACTCCATAGAAGCCAGAAGCAAAATTATTGTTTCTTCAAAAGTTTCAGGATTTCATCTATAATTTTAAAAATGTTTGACAAATATCATTACAGCAAAAGGAAAACCAAACAGTTTTAAAAAGGGATAAAATAATAAATTAACAATACTGACTCAGTTTTTCCATTTTATCCTTTGACACAACATGGTTAAGTAAATACTTGCCTTATGAGTTTCCTGCCCTCTGCTTTTTGCCAGAGGAAAATAAATGCTTCAATAAATAAAATAAAATTTTGTTCATTATTTAAACCATGCAAATATAAGAAGAATTTGGTACATCGAAGTCAATAGCTTCAGTCCATATGTCACTTTATTCACAGTTTCAGAAGCTTGTTTTTTCCTCATTTTCCTCAGTCTCAGACCTTTCCTCGCAGTGATCAATAGTCCCGACTGTCCCAGATATACAGCAGGAGCTCTTCTGACTCAGCAGAGACATGTCTGGTCAAGGACATGCACTCACTTCCCATATGGGTTTCTCCCAAAAGCCCTGCTGCCCTATTGTACCTCCTTACTCCTCTCTTGGTGAAAACCTTGTGGTCCCATTTGGCCCCTTGTTGCTTCCCTGCACTGCTCTTTCACTGCCACACAGCTTCAAGCTGCCAGTGGGGTTCACATAAAACATAAAACAGAGTAATACAGTCTGCTGGTTAAATAAGGTTAATGGAAAAGGTGAGAGGAAAAAAGTGACTTGTATATGGCAAAAAGTAAATAGGCAGACCTGAGGCAAATGGAGACATAAATCATAGGAACACAGGATAATTCAGGTTGGTAAGGACCTTGGGAGGTCTCTTGCCCTGACTCTCCTGGGGCCCTCCCTGAACTTGTCCTGGATGGTCCATGTATTTCCTCTCCTGGCGGACCCAAAAGGGGACACAGTACCTTGATGAGGCCTAACAAGCACTGAATGAGGGGCAATAATCACTGCCTTGATTTTTGGGCAGCCCAGGCTGTGGCTGGCCCTCTTTGCTATGGCCCCAAAGCCCAGCTTGCTGACCCTCGCAACCTGCAACAACATAGGTGCAATTAGAAGGTCAGAGCCAACCAGTGATGCATGGAGCAGCATCACCTCCACACCCAGGTGGGTTGGAGATGCTGCCCTGAAGAAGGGAAATCTGGCTGGGCTAGAAAGTGAAAAACAAAAGCATGAGGCAAACTGAAAGAAAAGTGATCACAAACTGCAGCCCGGAGGCAAAGAGTGACATAAGTGATCAGTGTATAGAAGTGGATCCCATGAAATAAAGCGTTTTTCTTTAAAACTTAACTTTTCTACCCAGAACTGAAGAGAGTTGAATACCTAAACTTATAGCATAGGTTTCAGAGCAAATAGGTTTCAGAGGAAAATGATAAAACTGCTGTCACTCGGAATGTTTTCTAAACTGGTTTGTGAATGAAATGTTTTGTTTAAAACATGGCTATAACAGATGATCAAAGTCACAGACTCTCTTAAAATCTTGACTAATAGCAGGATGTTGTCGAAAAATAAGTTGAAAAGTGGTATGTAAGTTGAAAAATATTGAAACCATTCAGATGCCAGAGTTTTCCTTCTACCTGAAAACACAATGAGACCTCCTTTGGCCTTTACCTCTTAGGAGAATGGTCTGACTCAAAGAGCTAATGCCTTCACCTGAATCAGTCAAAAAGGGGTTTGGCAACACCATGCCAACATTTTTCTCCTTGTAGATCACGTGTGCCCCTTCTGTGATCTAGAAACAGATGGTATATAAAGTCCATTCCTAAGTTTTCAAAGCAACTCTCACCACAAAAGAGTGTGTGCATGCAAACACGCACCAACATACTACTTCCTAAACACCGCCTGTGACAAAACCGC